TCTCTAGTGAGAAAGTGTGTCAATTTAATAATGCAGCATTAAAAGAGAATCTACCTATTTCTCCTTTGAGATCCAAGCAAATCCGAAGTGGAAAAAAAGGGTGGGTGTTTTTGAAGAGTATCCAAGTGGTCAGGTAATATATGATTTTCATTAATTTACTGTTGTTTCTAGCAAGGAAAAAAAAAATTTACTGTTGTAACGGCATGAGGACACGGGTCAGGTTTTTCTTTAATTCCATTACTACCCTTGCTTTTCTTAGCTTTTTTCTTTCTTGCATATATATATATATATATCATAATTTCTTCAATTTTCATTTTGGTTACTAAATATTATACCAGATAAATACTTTTTTTTTTTTTCATTAGAACTGTATCCACGTGCATGTACTTAAATTGTTAAATATTTGTCCGCGTTTAGGCTAAGATCACAATTAACACTTAAAAATTTTGTGGTAGAGTATTAAAAAATATCCAACCAATACAATAATATAGTTATTAGCTGTCAGATCGTATCAAAACTATGTTTTTTTTTTTTTTTCCAAGAAATATGAAATTTGATTGAACTTGAGAAAGATCATCATCCAAAATTGCCCTATTGACAAGGTAATTCTTTTATTACTTACCGTATAATTCTCTTACGTATTTAAGCATAAAATATTAATTAAGTAAATCGTACCAATAAATGTGCATAAAAAATATGAAAGAATCTTCGCGACATTCTGCAACTTTATATCGAGCACGGCTAATTTTAAATGAGTTTAACGAGTCTCTTAGCTTCGTATAAATATGGCCCCATTCCTACTAGCGCGGAGCTATGAGATTCGTATATCCTTTTGTCATTTTTATATTTCTTTACGTCGATCGGTTTCATTATAGATATTCTAATTTTCTACAACCATAATTATTTTCTCTCTCTTAATTATAATTGATCAACAAACTGGAAAGTCTAGTCTAGCTGGTAACCCTAACTACATATAAATCCCCCATTTCACAAACTCACACACACACCCTAGAACCAAAGGTCTATGTTTTTTTTTTTTTTTTTTTTTTTTTTTTTTTTTTTTAAGCCTTTTTTTTCTCATTTTTTTATTTGAATATATAAAATAAAATAAAAGTTATACGAGCTCACATATTTTTAAGTTAACTTTTTCTTGGCAAGGCTAATATGGTCATAAAAAATTAACCTTTTTGGGGCTTAAATAGTGGGAAATAAACGCAAGTATCCCGTGACTATAACGAGGTTGCCTTATAAATCTCTATGGAAAAGTAAGCCTATAAATAACCCCCATTGTCCCCCTCTCATTTATCTTTTAGATCTTCTTCAAGCTCTTTTTCTTGTTTCAATTCTCAGATCAAGGTACGATTTTCTTGCTTACTCTTCTTAATTTCTTCCATATACAATATCCCATCTCTTGTTTACATGCATACATATATATATATATATATGTATCTATATATATTAAAGAAATGCGTTTACATTGGTGTATAGTATTCGTATATATGATATATAAAACATGCATGCGTGTTTTACTTTTTTTTCTGTTGAAATCATACGTTAAATTTATTTGCCTTTGATTTGGAAATAGTGTTTTTTACTGCAAAAACGGGGTTTAATTGGTTTTCCTTCTTCTTTCTGCGAAAAGGACTCGATTTTGATGCAGAATTTTGATACGACTGGCCCGATTCTGAATTCAATATCATTTCCTCCTCTTTTCATTTGTTTATTTATTTTTTCCTGTCTCTGTTTTATATGTGTGTTCTTCCTCATTTCCTGTTTGTTTTTTTTTTTTCCTCTTTTTTTTTTCTTTTTTGTTTTCCCTTTGTTTCTTGAATTTCAATATCATCGGCCGAGAGCGATATGTGAGAGAGAGAAATTCCTACGATTGTGTACTTCCTGGGTTTTGCTAAAGTGCGCCGTTTAAATGTATTTATTGGCATGGGATCTTACTGTATATTTGTACGGTCCACGTGGCCGAAAAGTGCTTTTACTCCCCGGTGCATTCTAGTACTTTCTAGGGCGAGTTTGATGTCGGTCAATTGCACAGTCAAATTTGGTTGACGTTTGTTTTGGATGTTTTACCATGGAAGATATCCTAGATCATTAATCCGTCATAATGACCGTAGTGCCCATGCTTAGAATCTTCATTTCCCATTTGTTCATAGCCTTATGGGGCATTTTCGTAACTTAAATAAAAGTGTCACTCCAAAGTCTACTTTTCTCTTTTTGAGAGCACCCTTGATTGTTGATGATAATTAAATCAAATCATATGTTGCATGAGATGTGACTTGAATTTAAGAGACGCGGGTCTGATTTTTCATTTTATATACATACACACATATAGAATATAATACCCTCCTTTCTTTTTCCCAAAATAAAAAAGTTATAATACCTTTATTTAAGTAATTTTTTTTCCATATTTTTCCAAGTACTAGTATTTTGGGTCGGTATGTCTGAGGGAACTAATTTAGGGCTCGTTTAGTTCGCTGATTCGAGTTGAGATGTGACTTTATATGAGAGCTTTTTACTGTAGTAAAAAAGTTAAATATGATTATTTTTGAAATAACAAAACTCGAATTCTAAATTCGAATCGGTGAAATGAATGGTGCCTTAATGTCTTTCTAAATACAACATTTAACAGCAACTTGGGTGTTGGTGTTCACCAATCTTAGTAGGATCATAACCTAGAGAAGCTTTTGACTGCGTAGCTCCTTTTTATCTCCTCCCGTTGTTCCTAATGTACAAACATACCCTCCTTTTGCTTTTCTTTTGTCCCCATTGTTGGGCGGCATTTCTCCCGAGCTCTCCCGAGCCCAAGCTCTCCCGAGCCCAAACGCTTCCGAGCCCAAGCTCTCCCGAGCCCAAGCTCTCCCTAGCCCAAGCGCACCCGAGCCCAAGCGCTCCCGAGCCCAAGCTCTCCCGAGCCCAAACGCTCCCGAGCCTAAGCGCTCCCGAGCCCAAGCTCTCCCAATCCCAAGCTCTCCTGAGCCCAAGCTCGCCCGAGCCCAAGCTTGTCGGAGGCCAAACTCTCCCGAGCCCAAGCTCGCCAGAGCCCAAGTTCTCCTAAGCCGAAAGTTCAAAGGTCGCGTGATATTATCAAGTGAAATAACCGACGCTAATTGAAGATATTGAATGGTTGAAAGTTAATTCTCATTGATTATTTATTAGTTTTAACTCACAAAAAGGTGAAGAGCCTCATTGTAATTAAGAGAGAATAAACTCTCGAATTAATGGGAGAATTAAACTCCCTCAATCCTAATGTATTATAAATTTCCTCAATTTGAGAGGAAAAGACGGACACTCATTTTCTGAATACAATTGTCTTGTGATTGTCATCATTTTGTTTTTGTTATTCCTTCAGAAGTTCTTTGTGTTCTTCGAGTGTTCTTCCAATTTCTTTAGATAATTTACTTATTCAATCCAAATTATTAATTTAGAGACGCTGGATAGGTGTTGGACGAAATTTTGCTCCAACACCCATATTAACTAACAAAAACTGAATAACTAGATTAGCCACTCGTGCATTAATCTTCAAATGAGCATTTATAGGGTGCCAAGGAAATGGAAAACATGGTCCAAAACTAGACTATACTAAGAGCGTCAATAAAACTCTTACAGATATATATTACCCTCAATTTCTATTAGGTGTTATAAAAACTAGCGGAGGAAACCCTTGATCGTTGTCGCGTAAGGTGTGGGACCCACTTTTCTCTTGTGCTCTTATGCAACGACATTTACTTATGTTTAACGTAAAGTAGGATATTCGCTTCTTTCACTTTTTATCGTACAACGTTGTTGTTTATGTGCTTTCATATAAAATGCAAAACCTATTTTTATTTGTTGCCATACAACATTACTTACGTGTTATTATGTTCGTGGTTTTGTATAATTTTTCTTCCTAAATAGGATTATTATTTTTTTACTGCAGTCATAAAAATATAGTTATTGTACTCTTCCACCTTTAAATTCAAGTTTTTCTTAAACATTTTCCTCCTTTTGATAGGAATAATGGAAAGAAAACTTGGACTTCCTTTTGATCACTTCTTTTATATATAATAAATCTTACCTCGTTAAGAATAATTTTAGCATATTAGTACAAAGTAGTATAATAATATTGCTTGACCAACTTGCCTGATCCAATCCCAGTTATCTATCTAGTAGTCTCTGTGAAATTCAGTCATATATATAATGTCTCATTCACCTCATATTTTACACTAGCAGATGAACCAGACTGCTTATGGACGTGTCATACATAGGACATCTTGATCAGTGTTACAAATGGTTGTTATATATAGATATATGTATATGTATATCTATATTTATATTTTTCAATTCAACTTGAGATCGAACCCGAAACCTTCTCCCAAACCCCATCCCATCCAAACTCCGTGATGCGACCAGACCAAGCGGTCTTAAGCCAAATTAATGGTTATTATAGTTTGATAATCCATTTTTATCCAACAGTAATATAATTCCGATTCTAGTTTTTCCAAAGGATCTTCCTTAGGTCTTTGTAGCCTTTTTATGGTCAGCTACAAACTGTGAGGCTGCAAATTCAATACAACAAGTCAACAACAAAGGGGTTGTTGTTCAACTTTTCTTTCTGCTCTCATCAGTATTATGAATAAGTGGAGTTATAGATAAGATCTTTGTGGGAAGGATAAGGATCTCGTGTACTTTGTTGCTTTTGGTGAACAAAGAAGGTTTTACCAACGTCGGAATCTGCTTCTGAAAGGCAATCTTTTAGAAGGACTTAATTAATTAATTAAAATGGGAAATTTCTTTTGTACTATTCTGTAAAACTTCAACTTCTTTTAACTGTCTTGAGTACCATTTTGTTGGCTCAAGAATTTCATGAGCCAACGTTAATTTTGTAATAGTTCTGATATATCACATGTAGCATCATAGTACTTTTGAAAATCTTGTTCACACTCATATATATATATATATATATATATAATTGACAATTTTGTATAATCACAAACTGCAGGCTTAATCAACTAATGGGGTATCAGCAGAACACTGAATCCATATGGAAGGAAATGTTTGATGACTGTGGAGAGGCAGTTATGAACTCCTACACTTCATGGCTGGTAATATTTCATACTAATTACTATTGTTGATTTTTATTTTATTTTATTTGTTTTGCTGATCTTGATTCTTTTTAATGATTTTTTTTTGTTTTTGTTTTTTTTACCCGGTGGCTCGCAGGCGAAGCATCCGTCTGCGCTGAACAATTTCGAAGAGATGATGAGCGAGGCTGAGGGAAAGGAAGTTGTGGTGTTTTTGGACTATGATGGAACTCTCTCTCAGATTGTAGAGGAACCTGATCAGGCATTCATGACTGACGAGGTAATTTAGTTAAATTAATTCCCTTTTGCCACTTCATTAAAAAAAAAAAAAAAAAAATTAGGCCACCACTAATTTTTTTTTTTTTTTTTTTTAGCATATTGGAATTGCTTTTGGAAACTAATATTCATTAACAAAACTACAGATGCGCTCAGCACTAGGAGAAGTTGCCCTTGCTTTTCCTACTGCAATAGTGTCCGGAAGGCGTCGAGATAAGGTCATTTTACATCGATTTTACGTTAGAAATCTTCCAAAAATTAAAAATAAAAAGGAACGGTGTTCAGTTGTTAAATTCATCTTTTTTTGTTTAGGTCTTCAAATTTGTGCAATTGAAGAATGTGCACTATGCTGGAAGTCATGGAATGGACATATCAACCCCATCAGGCTCTTTGAAATATAGCGGTCACGAGCATCAAGTTATCACCACTGATGAGCATGTGTGTGTTTTTGGTTTTTTTAATGTGTTTTCTTCAAATGCCACATCTTAAAAAAAAAAACAAAAAAAAAAAAGTTCCCTTAATATTTTATTTTATTTTTTATTTTTAAGGGAAAGGAAGCAGTTCATTTTCTTCCAGCACAAGAGTTCCTGCCTACAATTCAAGAGGTAAAGCTACGACGACAATATTTTGGCTTAAGATAACATTTTAAAAAAAAAACAAATAAAATTGAACGTGTTATGTGTTTTTTTCCAGATAATCAAAGATCTTAGAGAGAAAACGAAAGACATAAAAGGTTCAATGATTGAAGACAACCAGTTCTGTGTCTCTGTTCACTATCGAAAAGTAGCAAATGAAGAGGTCAGTTAATATATAATAATAAATTATTATGTATAAATTTAACTGAAAAATGTTTTAGTTTTCTTCTTATTAATATATGTACTTGCCAAGAAAATTCCTAAGGTTATATATATATATATATATATATTGCTAGGTTTACATGTTTTAATATAATTATTAATGCAGGATGTCGACATCCTGAAAAAGATGGTGAAAAGTTTAATGGAAGCTCACAAGAAATTCAGGATTTCCGAAGGGAAAAAGGTATGGAAAAAAAATACCTTAAAATAACTTATTGGCTTTATCGAAATTCATTGATTTTTTTCCAAAAAAAAAAAAAAAGGTTTTGGATATTCGTCCAAACATCGACTGGGACAAGGGTCGTGCTCTTCAATATTTGCTGGATACTCTTGGATATGACAGTACCTCCGAGGATGTTTTCCCTGTGTATATTGGCGATGACAAAACTGATGAAGACGCATTCACGGTAATGATCAAAATTATGGGCCCGGTTTAGTTCGTTTATTCGAGTTTTTAATTCGAATTAAGATGTGATTTTATGTTAGAGTTTTTTTACTGTAATAAAAAAATTAAATGTGATTTTTACTCAAATTTTAAACTCAAATCGGTAAAATGAACGGAGCTTATATCTTTACTTTATTTATATCCGATTTGGAAAATTCTACGTGATTTTAGACTGTTGGGTCTTTGTAGAATTGACTTGAATTTATTTTATTTTATTTTTTTGCTATAATATGATTCTGATTTAAATCTTTTATGTTTCGAAATTCACAATTCCTTATGCAAGATCTTTACAAAAGTTACGTGATTTTAGACTGTTAATCTACTCCATAGGAGTTCTCTACTTAAAACAAAAAAAGAAAATATTTGTCACCATCATATGATGATGACAATAACAGTCATCTAAACCTAACCTAAAGTAAAAAGCTCCTGCAGTATCTGATGTTTACCCATGTTTCTTTTTATAATATCTTGATGACTGATGTGTGTGTGTGTGTGGGTTTATTTCAGGCTATACGGCAAATAGGACGTGGGTTTCCCATTGTGGTTTCTTCTACTCCAAAGCAGACCAAAGCTGCACACTCTCTGAGAGACCCAACAGAGGTCATGTCGTTCCTGAAGCGTCTAGTGAGTTGGAAAAGTACTACAACTAGTAATTTGATTGCCTGAGAAAAGAAAAACACACAGCAAATTATCAAAAAAAACAAGAGGGCTATTTATAGATATAGATCATTTATATATAGTTTTTAGTGATGGTGGTGGTGGTAGGTGAGTATTTGCCTGTGTTTTTTTATTTGGCAAATGGGGCTCGATCGCTCGCTGGCTGTTTGTTGTTGTTGTTGTTGTTGTTGGTATGTTAGCTATCAAACTTTTTGCTGTTTTTATTTATTTACATGCTAGAAATCCCCTAATTCAAATATAGGGATCTTTTTAAGGGTGCGTTCGTTTAGTTGATTAAACTGGAGTTTGTCCAACTCAGATTGAGTTTTGGGCCTAGTCCACCATTCGGTAATCCAAACTCAAATTCAATACTCGAGATAGAATTAGAGTTATGAAACATCAGCTACCACTTGAATTTTAATAACTCGAATCTGTCTGCTACAGTATGCAGAGAAAACTGCTTTTCACATGCGCGTACAGTGTCATCCCTCCTTCGTCCTGGTTACTGCTTGGCTCACGAGAGGCCCCTCCTTTGTTTGGTCAAGTCACTTATACTGCGCCGATTTCATGGCTGCGCCGCCGTATTTGACCACGATGGTCTTGCCGCGGAACTTCTGGATGAACGACAGAGACTCCGAGAGGATGTCGACTCGGAGCTGACCCGGCGTGGCCGTGACTGAGTTGGCGGGGGTCTCATTTTGTTGTTCTTGGACCGAGTTGGTGGCGGTGGCGAGGAGAGGTTGGGGATTTTCACGGCGGAGAGAGAAAGCGAGATTAGGGATTGTGGAGTGACTTTCGGGGGATTTTTGGGTTTTGGAGGAAGGGAATGAGGCTGAAGGGATTGGAGAGGGTTTTACTAGTGCTTTAGCTGCTAACATGGTGTTCCTTTTTTTTTCTTATGAGGTGTTGAATTTGTCTCAGGAAAGTGACGGAAAATGTGAGAAAGTTGGTTTCTCAGATAGAGACGGGGTGGCAGTAGACAACGGTGATTATTTTGGGGTACTTACGTTCTTTTTCTTAGTACGTACGTGTGTTAAAATTGGAATTTTTTTCTTGTCAAAGTGAACACAAAACTCAAATTCAACATTCACAAACTATCCAAGTGAACACATAACTCAAATTTCAAATATAATTCTAATTAAACTCATTTTTTTAACTCTAATCTTAAATTTGGAATCGCTGAAACGAACGCCCCTAAGAATAGTAATTTATCGAAGGGGAGAACTATATAGAAACGATCATATGTTCCATTTATGGAATTAGAAAGAGACCCACAGTTAAATTTGATGTCTTTTTTTTTTTAAATTTTATTTTCATCGTTTGGTTGTTTGGAAGTTGGATTTACTTCTCTTTGATCTTAATTGGTCCTTGGACTCTTTGTTTTGGGAACCTCTATTCAGAATTCCCAATCTTATTGGAGATAAAAAATCAAGGAGCCAACGTCTACTCTTTCAAAAATATATACTTTTTTGTTTTTCAAAAAACTTCAATGACTTATGCTTTATTTGTTTGTCTGAACTTTTGTTAGATAATTGGCCATAAATAATAACATATCTTATGTTTAATAACAGGCATTAGGCAATACTATTAGACACTGTCTACTATAGAAGTTATTTATGTATTTTTTTTATGTAAATTGTAGTAAATAGCATATTTTTAAAACTAAATTAAGTAAATAGTAAATTTAAAATTAGTTGAATTAAATAGCAGTTTACCGTATAAATGTTTTATTTACGACTAGTAAAATATAATTTACATGGTAAAAAATTTTTATTTACGTAAAAAAAAAAAATTTATCAATCGTATCATTCACTTAATTTAATCCCATAAATATGTTATTTACTAAATATGTTATCTTTTTCCTAAGGGGTTTAAATATTTGCTTAACTGTTTTATAAAAGGTAAAGTTAGACGTAAAGCAAAATTTTACAGATCATGTTCAAATATAGTAAAAAAATTCGAAATATTTTATTAATAACGAAAAGTAATGCCATTCATATCATGTCATTTGTAGTATAAACCTCAATATCATCATAATATGTATTTGTGATTTTTTCTATGACAGTATTTCTAAAAGCTAGTATATTTCAAACCTTTTCTCATAAAAATTTGCTATGTGGAGGAAATATAAGAATTAGTATGGAACACGATACCCATTTTCTTGAAGGTTTAATGTCGCTGATTGAAACAACGACATGGTTTTATGCACAAGATAAAAAACGTTTCCATACTATTTCTGTTAAGTAATATTACGAGCCGTAGATTGTGGTTTTAGTAAAGTTTGCTGTTGGTTTAGAACTGATATTACATGTGGTTTTATTAGTAGAATTTTTGTCGTGATACCAGTTGAAGACGAAATGTTTGTTATCTTATTGGATGCTTGTTGTCGTTAAATGAATAATTATATAGCATGCTCGTTGTTGTTTCGGAAGCTTTCAAGTGAAAAATACGGTAACGAATCATGAACCATAATTTAAATCATGGTTTGAATTCTCCAATCAAACATTTCTTAAACCACGTGTCGTTTTCATGCAACACCTTGTTATTCCTTTATTTCGGGGGCACAAATGTACTTTAATTTCTAATTGAAGTTTGCCGCTTTAATTAGCAAAATTTTTTCCAACATGTGTGTGTGTGTGTGTTTTTTTTTTTTTTTTTTTTTTTTTTTTTTTTTCAAAATGACACGAATGACAAGTTAACTAATCAAAAATTTTCTGTCGCTTTTCTTTTGTTGAGAGAATCAGAATTTGGCGTCTATATGTTAAAGTAGGGAAAAATATATGTAAATTGCAAGCAAGTAGTTTGGTACATTTACACTGTAAGCGACATGTCGTTTTCTCGTATAATTCTTCCGTCATTCAAGTTTAAAACGACATAAGCTTTCATTTTTTTTAAGTAAAAGGGTTTGTTTTTTTTTAATCAGCTTTTTAAGAGGATTGTTAGCCCTGTCATTTCAAACATTTGTATTTATTTAGACATTTTATACGTTAAAATACTACCATGCACAAAAAAAAAAAAAAAAAAAAAAAAAACACTTGCGAAATTGCCCCCTAAATTTAAGGATTTTAAGGATATTAAAAAATCTTTGGAGTAATTTATTTTTTAAAAAGAGTAAAGGGATAAAAAAATTATTTTGATACAAATCCCAAACTGAAGAGAAACAGATGGTATAGATCCAAATTCAAGACATGTTATTATAGTGCTAAAAGTTGGCAGGAAATTTACAAAATTTGTCATAAAATATAATGTTAACATCAATAACTTTTTTGTATTTTGGTACATTTTCACTAATAATAACATTTTAACTGAAATATTAAAAAATTTACCAATACCAATACTTTCGTCCTATAGAGTCGTCCCTAATTTTGGGTCTTTCGTTTTTCTCGTTTCTCTATTTTGTGGTTTTGTATTTTCATAATGAATGAAGATATCTATCCACTGGTGAAGATCAAGATCTACAATAATTTCCGTATCTATACATCGAAAGAGTGCGCACTCAAGACAAATGGTGTTTTGAAATAGTTAACGTTTTTTTTTTTCTTGTGGAGCTCATATTTTGTCTCCTTTAAACAATAGTCATTATTTGTTATATCAATCATGTTTTTAATTTTTCTCCTTTTATTTTTATTATGCATCATTTTAGTATCAACCTTATCTTTCTTATCAAAGATTGTAATATTTGTTATAATCCTCGAACAAAATATTATTTTAAGTAGAATGAAATTGCTGCTCTAATTAAAAAGGAGAAAGAAAAAAAAAAGAAAAGAAAAAGAAACTTTCATCCTTCAACACTACCCTTTAAAATTTTAAACTTTTAATACTCTTTGTTTTTTCAAAGCACTACTTGCTTTTTATTTTTATTTTTATTTTTTTGAAAGGGGTATCTAGTCTCATTCACTCCCTTAATTTTCATCTTTCAGCGTCAATGTCGGCCCAACATAGTGCTTTTGTTATTGGAATTCTTTCTGATCTCTACGCATTTCACCGCTCTATTGGAAATTCTCTTTACCCCTATTGTACTCCTAGGGATGAGCATCAGGCGGAATGAGCTCGGGTATGTTTCCCCCATCCCCGTTCCCGCTTTCACTATTGCCCCCCCATTCAAGGTCGGGGTCGGAGTCGGGGAATCCTCATCAGGGAAGCTTTCCCTATACGTTACCTGTTTACCCAATAAAAAAATATTGGGATATTATTAATTGTTAACAATTAAGCGAATTACATTAAATTAAATATAAAATTGATCAACATAACATTAATATCTCATGAAAACAAACCAAGGTTTCAAATGAAAATCCAAGCTCTAAAATAACTAATCAAATCTCAAACTCAAAATCATATGAAACTAAATTCTAAAAATTCAATTAAAGACCTAAAAAATAAATTAAAGTCTTCAAAGTAAAACATTAAAAACGATAAGAACATTGTTGTTTTAATTTATTTATCTCCTCCACACCAACTTCAAATGCCATAGGTTAGAATTCGGATTTAGGTTAAACAAAGTTACTACTTATAAGAAGAATATAGGAATCATTAAGGTTTTTAAGATGGTAAAATAGTAAAATAATTTAAATTTTTTTAAACCCATATTTTTTAACTACTAATATAATATATAATATATAATATATAATTTGTATTAAAAATATTTTTAGAAATATATGTATGTGTATATCGGGGCGGGGGCGGGGTGAGGGTACTTTTCTCACCCCACCTCACTTCTGATTCGGGAGACAATATAAACCTCCATACCCGTCCCGGCCCTCATTTAATTATACCCATACCCTCCCCATTCGGGGTGGGTACCGCACCTGTGGATGAAATACTCATCCTTATGTACTCCAGCTTGGTAGTTTCGACCGTTCATTTGAAGTTGAGTCCTGAGATCTGACGACAAACTTAAAAAGTCACCTACAGATGCTTTATGACCAATCATTACTGATAGCGCTTGGGCTCCCGTAGATTCGTGTATGCAATGCTACGAGGGCTTCCTCTCCCTCTATCTCACCTCCGGTGAGGTATGGTTGGATTAAAATCTTAAGTGAGTGGTTCACAGCGTGGACCACGAATGATAGAAACAAACATGTCAAGGGGTTCGGGGGGATGTGCCCCCTGAAACCTAAATTGGAAATAAAAAAAATAAAAAAAAACTAGTGAGTGAAGTGATTCACAAGGGTGAATCATAAATGAATAAGAAGAATCTATTTTTGTATTACGGTTCCTGGCACAGAGCTAGCTAATACTTATTCCTCAAATACTGTTATTACTTCTTCTTCAAAAAAAAAATTCACGATCCGTAGGTCTTCTACATCTACGCGGCATTGCTCTGACAGGCTTTCGCTCATTGCAAAAAATTGAATCTGTCGCTTATGCCTAGGAAATTGTTCTCATTTTTTTTTTTAATTTATTTTTGCTTCCTGGCTAAAGTGGAGACGAGAGAGTTGGTTCCAGATTGCTTTCCTTATGGCTTTGCCGTTTTTTAAGTAGAATATCAAGAATAACTGTACGCCGTTTATTGACCCAAAAATTTTGTAGCCAATCCTCAACTGAAAACGACGTGTCGTTCCAACCAAGAATCCAACAGTCAACGACAAAATAGTCGAATGATGAAATTGGAGGAGTCTGAACAAAACGACGCCGTCAAAATCCTCACCTCAACACATATGCTTCTTGGGAACCTTAAACCCTAAACCCTGAACCCTCCTTATCTTCTTCTTCCTCTGAAAACACAAAAAGCCGACAAGCTTTTTAATTTTTACGCTTTCTTCCTTCGCAATCTCCGATCACCGGAAACCGACAACCATAGTATCTCGATTCCTGAGATGCCCGTTAAGCTCTTCCTCCAACTGCGTCTCCTGAACCCTGCTCTTCCGGTCACCTGTTTGCCTCCCATGAAGCTGGGACCTTCCATTTCTTCCTCCGCGAACTTATCCCGAATCTTCCCCTTCAAGCTCAAATACCGATGCTTTCTGCCCAACGACCAATTCGGCATTCGCCGATTCTCGAGTCGGCCGTTCCGGTCGAGGACAGAGTTCTCTCGCGGCGGCGGCGGCGGTGAAAGAGGAGAAGTTCGCACCGCGAAGAGCCTGATCGAGGACGAGGCCGAGCTCAGCGACTGGGTCAGTGAGTTGAAGAGCGACTCGTTGCGCGGCGGAGGTGAATCGGATGGCGAGCGAGGCGGTAGGGCTAGGGCTAGGGTTAGGGATAGAGGGAGGGATTTGAATTCCACGAAGAGGAGGAGGAGGGAGAGCAGTGACTCGGAGGTGTTTGAGGATTCGAGTCGGCGGGCTCCGGCCAGGTCCTTTTCGAGGAATTCAAGGATAAGTAGCCGATTCGATGCTGGAAATGATGATCGTCGTGGTGGTGGTGGTGGCGGCGGGGATTTTTCATCGCGGAGAAAGAGTTCCAGGTTCCAGGAAGGGAAATTGGGGATGAGTTCTTCGATTGGGAGGAGAGGTGGGAGGGATATGGAGTCGGGGTATGATCGGAATCGAGGTGGCACGGATTCGAGAAGGCGGTTCGGTTTTGTGGATAAGAAAGATGATGATGATGGGGAGGATAGGAAGGAAAACAAGTTTGGCATTGTGGATTTGCTTAGTGAAGAAGAAAGTGATATTGATGAAGAGGAGGATGAGAATGTATTGCAAAAGGAAAATGCAAAGAGTTCTTCGTTTGGTTTGGACAAACAAGTTAATGAAAAGGGTCCAGCTAAATCTTCAGTTGGAAAATCAGAGTCTTACTTGAGTGACGCTAGGTATTAAGTTTGGAGTTATTTTGTTTGGTTTTGAAAATGGCTAGTTCTTATTCAGCATATGAAATTCAATTTCCCTTTTCTTTCTTGTTTGACTGTTTTTGGGTCCAACTTCTTTATAATTTTTCGGCAGATTTGACCAGTTTTTGGTCTCTCCCTTATCGCTAAAGGGAATCAAAGACGTCGGATATGAAAAGATGACTGTGGTACAAGAGGCAACTCTTCCGGTGATACTCAAAGGTAGTTTCATTTCGTCTATCTGGTATGTTTGACAGGTTCTGAACAAGGAAATCTAGATAGACCCACATCGACCATCAAATTTATTTTTCCTGCACTACTGAAATGATTTGGAGTGATGCTAAGTAATTTGTCTGTGTCTGGAGTGTATTTATCAGTATCTTCTGTTTTTGCTAATTTGATTTGTCTGCATTGTGATGTCCAGGTTCTGAAAGTGATTATTCTGTTTGATTCTGTTTTCTAGGTAAGGATGTTCTGGCCAAAGCGAAAACTGGCACGGGGAAAACTGTAGCTTTTTTGGTAAGCCACTTTTTTTCCTCCCTTCTTTTTTGTTTTTATGGTTGAACATTGGCTTGTTAGTACAGGGGAAGCTGTATTCAGAACGATCCCTTCATGAGCAAAAGTCTTTTGCTATGTATTTGTAACATCTGTTTGCGATTGCATCAACGACATCATCAGTAAATCCAGACCCTTTGTATATTAGTAATTTATTTAGAACGAGAAATCATTGTTAAAGTGTGTCTTTTTTAAGAACAATAAAAATATGGTAGAAATTTAATACAAGTGTACTGATTCGTTCTTCCTGACCCACGTTTAGTTATTATTACACTTTTTTTTTTTTTTTTTTTTTTTTTTGGGCAGAAGATGACATGAACTAAGTAAAACATAAATTGGTGTCACATAACTTTACTGGATTTTTTCATCGGTAATATTCTGGAGTTGTAAAAATGAGCTATTGAAAATTTTTTTTTCTATTTTCTTGTGTCCTAAATAGGACATGTGGCAGTTTTCTTATTGTTTTTTAGAGTGGAGACTCAACTGGAGAGCACTTATCATCAAATTTGTTCTTTTTCAGCTTCCGTCAATTGAAGTTGTTGTAAACTCACCACCCACTGGTCGTGACCAAAAGCGACCCCCAATTCTTGTGCTTGTAATATGCCCCACTAGAGAGCTGGCATGTCAAGCTGCCGCAGAAGCCAATACCTTGTTGAAGTATCATCCTTCTATTGGTGTTCAGGTCGTAATAGGAGGTACGAGACTTGCTCTGGAGCAGAAGCGAATGCAGGCAAACCCTTGTCAGGTGAGTTTTTCTATCATTAATTTCTTTTTACCCTGAAACTTCAAAACGAGTGAATGATCCATTGTGATTTGTCTGCACCTACATTGTAATAGGTATTAGTAGTACGGACCTTTAACCTTCGAATATTTAATTGGTTGATCAATCCATTAACTTTCTTTCTATGTCTAAATATTAGTATTACTTTTAGATTGTAAGTGGATCTTAGAGTGAAAGTTGAACTGTTTCTTTTATTGTTCTCTGACTGTAAATTAATAGCCAGTGGCTAATTTTATGCTGGGGTCCTCACTGTTTGTGCTAACTGTAAACATTAGTGAAGCCCGCTAATTAAAATGAAAACCTTCATTACTTTTTTCATTGCGTATTTATTACTTGCAGATTCTTGTTGCGACTCCTGGGAGGCTCAAAGATCATATGGAGAATACTGCAGGCTTTGCAACTCGGCTGATGGGTGTGAAAGCACTTGTCCTTGATGAAGCTGATCAGTTGCTCGATATGGGATTTCGCAAAGACATTGAAAGGATAATTGCAGCAGTTCCAAAGGAACGACAGACGCTTCTTTTTTCTGCCACAGTTCCAGAAGAGGTTTCTGCACCTTCTGTTATGTTTTCTGTTGTGTTGCGTTGTGGGATTAAAAATCTGATGATAGTTTTTTGAATGAAGGTTCGTCAAGTGTGCCACATTGCTTTGAAAAGAGACCATGAATTTATAAATACAGTCCAAGGGGGGAGCGAGGACACACATTCACAAGTACACTTTCTGATGCCATATTTTTCTTATAGAACTGTGACATCTGTATTTATGCACATTTTATACATGCTTAATTCTAAAAAATATTATCCTCTCAGGTTAGGCAAATGTATCTGGTTGCTCCATTAGAGAAGCAATTTTCCTTGCTATATACTCTTCTCAAGGAACATATTGCCGACGATGTTGAATATAAGGTATGTTGTCTGCATACTAGGAGTCTCCATCTGGTCTCCCTGAAGATGAAGATGCCTTTAGTGGGAGCACATGGCCTCACTCAGACTATAAAATTATCATTTTTATTTTGCATAAAAATTTCTCAAAATTCAGTTATGCCCCTATTAAATGAGAGAACTTTTACCTGCACCCCCTCAATAATGAAAATGTATCACTTTGTCCCCATTCAGTAAAATATTATCTCATATTTTTTCAGTGCCCCCACTAGAGAAATATTCCTGGCTCTGCCATGGAATATTCCAATCAAGACATGTCACATGAAAACAATCATGACTTTCTCTTTTCAGTTGCTGATTAGCAGGATTTTATTTGTCACTGTATTCTAATGGTTGGCAACAATGTTTTGTTTTACAATTTCCACAGGTTATTGTGTTCTGTACAACTGCTATGGTCACGCGGATGGTTGCTGAGCTTCTTGGTGAGTCGAACATGAATGTGAGGGAGATCCATTCAAGAAAATCCCAGAGTTATAGAACTAAGGTTTCAGATGAGTTCCGGAAGTCGAAGGGTCTTATTCTTGTCACTTCTGATGTGTCTGCACGTGGGGTTGATTATCCTGATGTCACCCTTGTCATGCAGGTAAGAATTTGATTATCCATTGCACGCGCTTGTCACTCTTTCCTACTAGACAGCTTTTAAATGAAACTCTACTTAAGTTGTCATAGAATGTAATCCAGCTCACACTATCAATTACACAGGTGGGCTTGCCTGCTGACAATAAACAGTATATACATCGACTTGGTAGAACGGGGCGTAAAGGAAAAGAAGGGGAAGGCATATTGTTGCTAGCTCCTTGGGAGGAATTCTTTTTATCTTCTATCAAAGCTTTGCCAATAACAAAAGCTTCGGAACCTTCAGTTGATCCTGACACAAAGAGAAAGGTGAGTTTATATGGGCTACGTTTGCGAAAGTTAAACAAAATCCATGACACATTCATAAGCAAATGCAATAGAAAATCTTTGACACGTGACTGATACTGAGCAGGTGGAACGGGCACTTTCCAAGGTTGAGATGAAGACCAAAGAAGCTGCGTACCAAGCCTGGCTTGGGTATTACAACTCAAATAAGACTGTTGGACGTGACAAGTATAAGCTAGTGGAGCTTGCTAACGAATTCAGCCGAAGCATGGGGCTAGACAATCCTCCAGCCATTTCCAAGCTTATACTAGGCAAGATGGGCCTGAGGAATATCCCCGGGTTGCGTTCCAGATAAGCTTCGCCATCGGAGCATAGGCGGCTAATTTATATTATATGTCAACTCTGACTTGTTTGGTAAAAGAGGAAAGTACTTTCCTATGTATGTACATCGGAAGGTAGTTGAGGTAAAAGTTTGATGCGTCACTAAAATGGTAGGGCAATTCTTTCATTTCATGATACAAAACAAAAACAGAAATGATTTCTGATGGTTGTATTCTTTGAAACTCTGCAAAATTGGCGCAACGTTTCTCCTGTTGTCTCTCTCCTTTTTTTTTTTTTTTTTGTTGGGCAGTGCATGGATCTTTATTCTTCCTGAAAAAAAAAACAAACAAATTACGCTGTTTCAGCATTATTTGAGAATTTCTATCTATATAAAATGTCTAAACGTCGTTGTATTTGTCAGTGGCCAAACCATGATTATTTAGTGACTATTGTACTTGATAAACTGCACCCTTACTTTTAGCATGCTGACCTAGGGCTATTCAATGAGCCGCATTTAAGTTAAGCCATTAACTTTGTAGCTTCATATCCACTAAAGTTCTAGTATATATGATTAATTCAAAATATTTTGGGTGACATTAATGTTCTGTATGGTGGGAGAATAGAGAGTAGGAAGATGAAGAAAGTTAGAGAGATGGGAAGTTTGAAAGATGAAGACGATAATGGGTGCGTTTAGAACTCGTTTTAAAATGATTTTATTTTTTATATGAAAATGAAAATGAAAATGTTTTCAATCTTAGACAGAAATTATTTTTAAAAATGTGTTTAGTTATTTTATTAAGAGATTTTTTCAATATAAAAAATCTATTAATGTTTCTCTTTCTCTCTGCTCAAGAGAGGAGAAAACGAAAATAAAAAAAATAAAAAAGATTAAAAGTCATTTTTCATTTTTCTCTCACTTTACACTAAATTAAAAAATTATTTTCATTTTCGTTTTGTGTCTTTAATTGTGTCAAATACCGTTTTAGAATCGTTTTCATTTTTTCTTTCTCAAAAAAACGTGAAAAACAATAATAAGAACAACTCCAAACAGGAAGAATAATTTTTAATAGGAGGGAACGAGAGTTGAGATGATGTATGATAGTTATTTGTGCATTAATTATATTGGCAATCTTATTTGTTAATAATTTTTAAGGATAAAATAGTCTTTAAATTTAAATATGCTGGATTTGGTGGATCCTTCTAATGAGGAAACAAGTTGTTTTTGGGGGATTGTGGGGTAATCCCTTTAATTTCTCCCGTCCCTCTAACCAAACAAAGGATTGGATCTCCACCCATCTCTCTCTCCATCCAATCAAACAAAATGTGAAGATGACGATGACTCAAAATTGAGAAAAATACACCTCTTACGAAGAGAGTTGAGTTTATGAGAGTTTTTTAAGGGAAAATATAAAATTGATCCACTATATCGTGGGTGTAAAATACAATACAAACATGGATGCTTCCTTCGGCACTAGTCCCAGTCCAATCCAAGTGCCTATACCAGCCCTTCAACTCGATCCCAGCACCGTCACGATTGGACTTGGGGTGGCAATCTCAGCCTATAGGCCCGACCTTAGTAGGTGTCCGTAGACTAGAAAATTACAGAATTTACCTTTAAAAATACACAAGTCAATTTAATGAAAATCTCAACCCGTCAACCCTACCCTATAACAGTCAAACCCCTGTGCCTATGCTAACTGGTCGGCCTTTTTTTAATAAAGAAAAATATAACAAAATCATAGTTACCAAACGCTTTTTGTTTTTTAAAAAAACAAAAGGTGAGTGTGAAACATTCTTTTTAGATGAAAAAAAAAAAAAAAAAAAAAAAAAAAAAAAAAAAAAAAAACCAAAACAAGATATGACGTTCTTGGTTTTTGTTTTAAAAATAAAAAAATCGAAGGCTCCCAAACAGTCTTAAGCGTTAGAAACAAAATCATGGAACCATTTAGCACAGGAGAAAAAAAGAAAAAGCACAACCATTTGAAGCCGAGAGAAACTAAATAGATTTTGATCATTGGCCGTATTATTGATACACTGTTAACAATGTTAACATGAGTCTATAAAAAGAAAAAAAGGGTACACTGATGACTATGACGGAACAGATTCAAAGGAAAATTCGTAAGTTCTGACTCTGAAGGCCTTTTCTAGTTCAGTCAGTTACAATGTGTCATAACCTAAAATAAAATGCTGGTAAGAGACTTCACCGTTACTTTTTCTTTCTTTTCTGTTCTCCTCTTCTAGTTTAAAATCGTATAGAACCTTTACCACCTACTCACTGTAATTGGAAAAGAAGCTTGTTAACTACTCAGTAGTGAACGCATAACGCACCGAACCAGCGTTGAAGTAGCCTTTCCATGAGAAAGAAAACATGAATTCATCAGAGCGGATTATCGAATTCGGCCTCTGTCACAAGCACGGCGAGGATAAGATTTCCCGGTGATGGGGTAAGTTCTCAACTGTAGTTTCTCCCACCATCATAGCATTCCCTCCTTGGTCTGCAAATATCAGAGGTGGAAAATCCTCATCTTTCAACTGACACTTCTTCTGTGAGCCACAGATCTGGAAAAATGATCAAACTCCCCTGTTAAGATCATAAAATAAACATCACAAAACAATCCCAGTGGAAGTAAATGCCAACAAATAGGTAAAGGCAAAGAGGGGGAAAAAGTAAATGTAAATTGCTAATGTAAAACTACTAATATTACAAACCAGTGAAATCGCCCCTTTTATACCCAAGGGAGAAGCATTCACGGAAGGGAAAATTGCTTTTGAAAACAACATTAAAAAGACATGATTGGTGATCAGCAGCTACCATCATATCCCAAAATTGGCAGCAACATGAATGTAATGAGGATACAAAAGCGCTACGCGCTTGGAAGTATTTCTTTTTCAGTCTTGTTTAAGTGAGGCGCAGCTGGACCAACTACCTCTGAATGTGGGGTGAGGAAGGCTGATCAGGTGAAGATTGTTGAACAGAGTTACCATGAAATCTTTGTTCTTCAAATGCCCCACTTATCCGACTTCCCTCATTTAGTTGCGATACTTCATTTAAACTTGAAAAACCCATTGGTCCAAGAGAGCCAAACTCGAGCTGTTCTGCATGTGTCCCATAGCCAGCATTGTGATCATAAGGATAGAACATTACAACAGGTGGCATGCTGGGACCATTAGATGCTGCCTCGCTAGGGTTCATGGCGGGCAACGAATACATGCTATATGGTACATTGGTGGAAGCACTCTGCGTAGAGTTTGAGCGGATAGGACCATTTTGAGACTGGTACGCAGGGAATGAGTCATGCCTATGTGAGACCCATGCCCTTTCACTTCGGTTCTCATTCGCTGTCAAACGATCCAGCCTTGCATTTGGTTTTTCAGCCTGGCTTCGACTGTGGCTACGCCCAGAAGGTCGTGACTTTGGATTGGCATTCCAGTTTCCTTCTCTATCACCATGGTGATCATTTCTGTCGTAATTGTAATTACCCCGTCTTGTGCTAGTAGAATGGCGGTCCCTTGCCGAAACCTTCTGGAGTGCATTCAAATAGAAACAGGAAAAAATAAAGATCAATTGAAGATAACATAACTTAAAAGGGAAAGAAACGAATCACATCCACTGACGTCAGGTTTCCACATTCATATCGTAAACTAAAATGATCTTTCATATTCACTAGGAATTTATAACTGAAATACCAAAACTTTTATGTGTGGGAGAATTTATCTTACAGGATTTGGCAGGTATGTTCCAGTCCCACTACGATATTTTGGTATCTCGTCAACATAACGTTGATAAACAGCAGTAGGTCTATTAGACAAGGTCTGGAGAGGAGCAACAGGAACAAGTCGGGGCCCATAGCTCATGAGTTGGGTTAATAGATTCATGTTTGTTGAAAGCGGTCTTCCAGGGCCATCCCAGGGAACACGTCCCTGTAAATAGACAGGAGGCGCCATAACAGGTGAAGGGTAGATCAGAGGTGTAGAATACTGTGAGTTTTGGCAATACCGTCCATATTGCAAATTTTGCCAATGGCTAGCAAAGTCACTATTGAGAATGTCAGGCTTAAGCTCCGACGGCTCAAGAGAAGTAACCCTTTTCATAGAATCTACAATATTTGATGGTTCATGCTGTTGATCAAGTGCCTCAGAGGAGTCAAAATTCTGACCAGAATCACTGTTATCCACTCCTTCATCCCCACTAAAATTACTCGTTGATGCATCTGAAGTTCCTGCCTCAGTTGGGAAATTGTACACTGGAAGCATGGTAACAAATGGAACAGGTGGTCCTGTAGCATAAAATGTAAAGGGAAGAACCCCAGAATTATCCATAGCTCTCTGTCGCGAGTGAGGATTTAAGAGCACAGGACCAAGGGGTACTACTGAATCAGATCCACTCGTCTGACCTGATTCAAATCCAGGAATTTGGTGCCTCGGAACTTGCCAGAAAGCAGAAGAATGGGGTACTGTGCTTCTCTCTGCCATTTCTGTGCTTTTGGGTGATGGTGAATTCCAATCTCTGTTATCATCATCTGCCTGAGTAGAGGAATGTTCAGAGACACTCTTATCCTGCGTATGAGTAGCAGATGGAACTGAAAAAGGACTAGTTTTCCTACCCCGTTTTTCCCTTGTTGACTTTGAGACCTTTGCTGATGATCCTTCCCATGAACTCTCCGAGGAAGTTTTACTTCTCTGGGAACCAGTATGTGAGGCAGGCAAGGACCTCGAACTTGCAGTTCTATCATCTGAGAAAACTTCATTTCCTTGGGTATCATGATACTGAAAATCATACATTTGATTTTCCCTCGCTGATCCACGGCCTTCTTTAGCAAACTTATGTTGGTCTCGCATAGAACTTCCAGAGCTCCCTACTCGGGAAGAAGGATTAAAGTTATACCCAGATGACGTTGACTGTTTATCATCTGTGTGAAGCACGTCAAGACCGCCATTTTCTAGATCAAATTGGCCGGTAGATCCCCTGTCCTGTTCATGCCAAAAACCGCGATCAGCTTCCCCTGAATTCATTTCCACAGAACCCAAATTTTCATTAGCAGGTTCCACAGGATCTTCTGGACCTGAGGTCAATCCCATGCCAGGGAAGTAATGGGTCAAATGCGATGGAACAACACCTTGTGGAAATTGCATATTTGCACCCCATGGATTCTCAATCAAGGGAATATTTGTGGGAACCATCCCAGCCATATTTCTCTGTGCATATCCCATTGAAGCTAGAAAGGATGGTGGTATTGGAAGTGGTAGATGATGAGGACCTAAATTTAATGGAACATGAACCTGTCCATTAAAACCATGAGCCGTGGAAGCTGCCATCATGTTTACGAGATCTTGCTCCTCCTGATGCATCCCTTGTGCCCCCGAAACAGAAGCAAAATCATCAGCCGTGGTCCCCAAGCCTGACTCATCCTGGTAGCTATTTGATACACACTTTGAATCAACACCAATGTCAAGACTTTGCCGGGATGAGACGCGTCTGACTAATGAGGGATCATCAGTTGGTCTGATGCCATGGTTTGACATTGTATCAGATTCCGGATTCGTCCTCCTCGCATTATCCAACCTTGTTGACGAAGCTTGGCTCTTCCCACTCTCTGGGGCTCTGCCACGCCTACCTTGCGAAGAGACTTCACCATATGCATCAGAAAGTTCAGGACTAGAACGTGTCCTCGCAAAAAGAAACCTTCCCTGTATATCATTGACCAAGTTTTCAGTTTTCAAACTTTTCTGACCTTTATCCATCTGAGCACCCTGGTTTGAACTAGTTTCTTTCTTGATATGATCGGAGATCCTTGAGTTGTTCGAGATCCAAGAATTCTTTTGGCTTTGATTACGTGACAATGTCGAGACACCACTGGATCTGGACGTGCTCTCCAAGCTACCTTGCTGGGAGGGACGGTTATATGAACCATGTGTACCATCATCTTGGGTTTCATGAGTAGATAAAATCTCATTCTTTTTTCGGCTCATACTATTTCTGATATCTTCAGTCTCATGTAATTGATCATGATTTGATAATCTCAAACACCGCAGATCATTCTTTGGAGCATCAGGACGATGTCCACTTCCATGTCTGTCCCAAGTGTTCATAAAAAACTGATTTACTTCAAAAAGTAGGTCCTCTTTTGGGCAATCCAGTAATCTACCCAGCCGTTTAGCCCCAAAAGCAAATGCACTACGTATTCTAAAGAAGTTACCTGGAAAAGAACACATTCATATATAGATATCACACGTGACGATATTGATAACTTTCAATGCAAAAGAAACATCTCAGAATCGAACAAAATATTCTAACAGGGAAAAAAAAAAAACAGTTAACTTGTTGAGAAAAGAGTAGCAGCTGCTAATGTTTCAAGCAATATCAAAAGCCAAAAAATAATCATAGGAATTGGTAAAGTTTCACTTTTCACAATTGAAATGAGCCCTGCAAACACACATAATCAATTTAATCGTGTTCATGTGAGAGATGCTAAGTTGGCGTTGTCATACATGTGAATACTCAAGAGTAAAGGAGTTCTAGAACGTGTTAGTCAACAGCAGGTCTTCCATTGTGTTTAGATTGACATACCTTTACTTACACTACGTCCAAGATTATTATTTATACGCAAAGGATCAATTACATTGAAGTGCTTGGAAACAAAAGGCTGCCCCTGATTTTCTTGACCACTGGGGAAAACAGCATACACTGAGCTACAAGCATCAAGAAACAACTTGCTGAGTAGTAAATCTCCACCATCTTTTCTAGGAGGCTCCGCTGTAACATTAAGAGACCAACGAATTAATCTAGCAATTTGGAAACACTGAAAATTTGGAGGCAACCCAGTAAAAAGTTACCACTGCGAATCTTCAAGCAAGTTATGCATACCTGTTACATCTGGTAGAGAACAAATGGGCACAGGACCCCAAAGACTAACACAAAAATTGTCCCAGTCAAACTTGCTAAAAAACTCTAGAAAACGGTAGAGGACCTGAATGCACAAAGGAGCGAGAATTTATAGTGATGAAGAAACAACAATAAATTCATACTAAAAAAAAAATTCAACGTTCATGGAAAAGATCAGATAAAAGAAGAGGGCACCCAAAATTACCTCAAGTGGTCCAGCAAATGTATTATTGAAAACGTGAAAAATATAAAGAACCAAGGTTTCCAACGCATAAGTTGAAATAAGTCCATGATGAGCACCCAGTATACGGCTTTCATAATAACACCATGCTTTTATCAATATAATACTACGCTTGAATAAATGGTTCTGATTTATTAGATTATCAACCTGTAGAAGCAAACAACATGATTCAGGTAAAAACATCCAAGTGTCGTCTCAGATTATTTTTCAAAGGAGAAGGGTTTAGAGTAGAACCACCACTAGCACACTCACCTCGTCTAGGAAACAAAGGGTGCACAGTCCTCCAAGCTGATTGTATGATATGTCTACCACAATATTTTCCACAAGGCACTTGATTATCTTCACCTATTCAAAACAAAGAAAGTATAAACACATACACATAAAAGTAGGAAAAAATCCATATTACTTAATATCAAAAAAAGTTAATGTCACGCAACATATTATCATTATAAGTATCATTAACCGGCGGAAAAAAAAAAAAAAAAACATGAGTTGATAGAAAAAGAAAGATAAAACTCCAGCATGAGAAGATTAATATCTCCAATATCCCTAAATAAGCATCAAGAAATTACGGATGGTACCATCTCTAGCCAAAATTGAAATAAAGTTATTTTTAACTGCTCGTCCACGTAACGGATAAATGACCAATTATCTAAACTACTGATCCTTAAATGAAATAAAAATGCAATGAGAAGAAGAAAAACTGCAAAAACTATTCCTAGTCAGCATGACAAAATATCTACCAACAATCAACAAACTTGGGATTCATCACATGCTCTAAAGTTGCAAGCGAAGAAAATAAGTAAGAATACCCCATAGTAACAATAAAACTACAATTATTGGTTTCAATATACTCATATTTTAACCATTCATACAAGTGAATTAAACAAATTTCTATGTTGCCACTAAAAATATATGAGAGGGTTTCACCTCTTCATTTCCTATTCTTTTTCACTGCAAAAGATATCCATGAGTATCCGCATCAACTTAAGACAAAACCCACCATGGATATCTTGAGGAATCATCAATCCTAATTATGTGTTTACAGTTATAAACTTATACTACCTTGTACGAGCATAATTCTAGTATAAGTTTTCTAAAACAAGATCACCAGCCCCTATTAAATGCAAAATCTCAATATAAAATCTACAAAGATAATTAAAGGGGCAAAAAGCTAAAAGACCAAGGGCATACTTCTGCCTGAATGTACTGAACCTCCTTTACATGGAATTCAGCTTTCTCGTTCTTCTCCTCATTCTCCAGCATATCTCGAACCTGATGGGCCCATGTCTCCTTCAAATTCTGGTTCTTACTGAAGGCTGTCAAATCAATATCTCCATCAGGCAAATAAGTCTTCAGGGGCACAGATCCAAACGTAAATACCTGCATACGGTAATAAACATTGCATTATTACGACCAGAATACTGACCTTTGTATACTTATTCATTTAAGAACTTAAGAAAAACTGGGGCAATAGCATAACCATGAACATAGTCAGCTTCCACTCCCAATAAATTTCTGAATTCAAATAAGATTAAGCCTCAAACTTTTGTAATTTCCCAGACAACCAAATTAGATACATGATTCAACTCATTGCTGGCTATAAATACACATCACCGTCCCCAATCCCTATTGTTATTAAGCACATTATTGCTCTCATTATAGAAACAAAAACAAAAAACAAAAAACAAAAAAACAAAAGACAAAGCAAAACAAAACACACACATCATTGTTTTAGGTATTTTCTACATGACACGTCCAACAAATGTAGCATGTGATTATTGAGGTGTAGCATGAAATGCACAATTGCGTAACATGTAAAAATTGAGGTGTAATGAGACATCTATTCTACATAACAAAAAAGGTGTAACGACAAGGCATTCTTTTATCCCCAAGCCAGTTATTACAATCAAGAAACATCGTTAAATAGAATAAACGTCTTGTACCATGTAGAACCGGACTAGCTAGAGTAGTATAGAACTACCATGTTATTTTATTTTTCTTCTTTTACCAGCTCCAACCAGAAAAATAAAATTAGTCCACGCAGAGAATCGTTCCTCATACATATAAATTAACATTCCCCTTCATAGTGATTAGAAAAGCTAGAAGGCTTCAGGAGAATTATATTGGGGGTGCAAGATCGTTACAAGCTAATAAGAAAGGATAATGAGTGAAACCATACAACTATACTTAAGCAAAGATAACAAAGTAATAGACTATTTACTGTAAAGAACAACATTAGTAAACCCAAATTAATATTAAGCAACAAACTCTTATCTTCGTCACTAATTTCCCATTTAAACAAAGTTTAAGAAACAATGGCATTGCTACATTATTTTCATCAAAGCACATAAGCATAAAAAACGACACAAATGTGCAAAGCGCCATGACCCACCTGGCAAGAGAAGCACTTGGTGATGAGCCGCTGCACGTAATGCGCAACAGCACTCCGGCGCTCCTCGGAAGGCGGGTTGGGCTGAATGCAGGCGATGAGGTCCGCCGTCCTCTCCTCGGCCTTCAGCCAACGCTCGGAATCCAGCACCCGCATCACGGAGGCGGCTTCGTTGGGCAACAGGCCATTCGGCAATAGCCCACTCGGCGGCTGCGCCCACGCCTCATGTTCGCCCATGCAAAAAAGCCTTAAACTTCCCACACTACTTCCCTTACACCGCCGGCAAAAACTGAAAGCTATATCTCCAATATCTATATCTATCCAAGATTCTAATCTCCGACTAAGCACAGAAGGAAAGATAAAAATGGCTATCGGAGTTATCGAATTATGAGTATCTTTTCCTAATATATCTCTCCAAAATGTATAGATTTTCCAACTAAAAAAAAGGGAAACTTCAAGTGTCAAAACGAGAAGAATCAGATTATTTCGGATTTTTGTTTCTATATCTTTCCCTTTCAAGATACAACAACAAAAGGAAAACCTAAAACCTGACAAATCTAAGAACAGCGACCTATCTATCAAGAGAAAATCTGTAACTAACGAAAACAAAAAATCAAATCCGCAATCCAAACAGGGACGAAACCCTAGGTACAAAAAGGGAAGGGATTGAATTGAATGAACCCTAGCGAAGGGAAATGGGTGAGATTTTCCAAACCCTAGCGACTTGATTGGAGAGAAAAGAAAAGAAAATCCGGGCACTTTGGAGGCGTCGGCGAATCAAGAAATGGCTATGGCGAAGCCGAAGGAAAGGATTATCAGAAAAAAAAAAAAGGCGAAATGTGGGAGAGAAAAATGGGGCATTACATGAAAAACGCCATGGAAATTGGGAACAGATGAAGAAGGGGAAGATCAAAATTAGGTTTTTTTTTTTCTTTTGTTTCTCAGAGAGAAAGAAAGAGAATCAGAAGGGCTTGATTGGGTTAGAGAATTTGTTGGAGGGTGTGGTGCAATTTTGAGGGGTTTTGAATAATGAGAAGAAAGAAAATTTATGGATCTTTTCTTTCCTCAGAAAAATAAAAGAAAAGGAAAAGGAGAAGGAGAAGAAAATGTAAAAAAAAAAAAAAAAAAAAAAAAAAAAAAAAAAAGTGCATATTTAGGAGAAAATCTGGGTCAGATTTCTTTGCTAAGCCCATAATGGTGGGCTCTTGATCCAATTTGAGTCTTGTTGGGTCTATCTATTGGAGGAGGCCCTTTGAGCCCAGTGTTTATTCGCCCAAATTTCCAAGGGGTGAATAAGAGGAGTATCACTAATTTGTTTGGTAGGATGATAGAAAAGAAAAAAAGGAAAGAAAAGTAAAATACATATACGAAGAACGTAAAATAGTAAAGAGAGAACTTTTTTTTTATGTTGTTTGATGAAAGAGAGAAAAATGGAAAGAAAATGTTAAATGTAGTGATTATGAATTACTTGTTTGTCAAATTTTTTCCAACTAATTTTGGGTTATCCAATTTATAAGGATTGGACTCCCGACTTAAACGGTCAACCAATTAAGCGGGGAGGTATGATTGAATGCTCTTATAAATTTGTGTTTATTGTAGTGATTAAATAATGTGGGATTATCTTGTATTAGATGGATCAAACTAGCTCGTTTCTAGTTCGATCCATCCAATACAAATGGGAGTGTTCAAGGATTGGAATCCGCATATTATGGATTATTCTATAATCCAATCTAAAATTATCGGATTGGGAAAATTTTGATCTGTGTCTAATCCAAAAAATTTTCTAATCTAAACCCCATCAGATTTTGCATATTAAATTCACAAATTCTATGGATTAAGACCTTTAAACTTAATAAGTATATTAGGCATCCAAACAAAATTATTAAAGTAAACACAAAAGGAAGTATTCATCATTTATTAATATTACTTTAAAGTTTAAAGTTTACAGTATCCATAATCTAAATAAACATAGTATAATATAAATAGTTCAATAAATTCTAAATTGTCACAACCCAATTAACAATAACAAACTAGATTCAATAAAAGTCAAAATTAAATCTTCATCACTTATCAACATTACTTAAAAAAGTTTAAACTTTGTCAATAAATTTGAATAATCTAAAAAATATTACATATATTCACAGAAGTTTTCAATATATATAGATATATTGTTTTGAATTCATGAATTTTAGTGATTAAGAAATGTTCAATCTGCAAACCAATTAAAAATTTTTGAATTGAGATATTTTTAATCTGGAACCAATCTAAACTCTCAATTCAATTTAATCCGCCGGATTAGTTTGGATTGAGCAGATTGATCGGATTTACAGATTCCGTGAATACCCTTAAATAAAAAATTGGTGACTCTACTAAGAGCACCATCATGTGAGGGCATATAAAGGGTAAAATAAACTAAAGTCCCATAGGCCCCATGAATTCACACATTCATTTCTTTCTCATTTTCTCTCTATCAAACAATCTAAAATTTCCTTTTTATTCTCAAAATCCTTCCTCTAATTTTGTTCCTCACTCCTTTTCCACTATACCAAACATAGGCTAAGTGGGAATTCAAACATACAAAAAAAATTTAGCCTTTTTTCACATTAAAGTATAGTGAAAATAAATTAATGGACTTCATAAGTGTTATGCACCTAGTTAACATAAGGGGTGAGAGCGTTATTCAGCTTGCCAATTAGATTACCAAATTATTATTATTATTTTTTTATCTTTCCAATTAGAAATTGTTAATTGTTATTATTTAAAGAAAGGCATTGTACACCAACAGTTTCTATATAGATGAAAACGAGTCCTTCAATCAAATAAACTCATTCTACAACAGGAGCATAATGAAAGAAATCAAGGAAGGTCCTCCATATCAACTTCTTTTAATACAGTATCAAATACAATGACAAATTTTTTATAGCATATTAATACTTTGTTGTTTCCTACTAAAAACATGTATATAATTTATCGTATTATCTCTCAAAATTAATAGAAACACTGCTGATCAATTAATCAACGGTTGTTGACTTACCATATCATATCTTATCATAACGAGTCTAATGTCAAGCAATCTTTGATCTCACTCTATAATTATTTTCTACATTAAATTGTATTATTTTCTTGCACATTAAATTTTTGCTGCATCTTTTGAACCAAGAAGAAGCGGGTTTAAGATTGAAGGAATTTATTTTTAAAGATTTGAGTAAAAAATATTGTGCACAAATTAAAATATCTACTGTATATCTTGTGTTAGAAATATTATGTTAGTGAGAGTTACGAGTATAACAATAGCTACAGAAATGAATAACATGTTATACAATTTTTTGCATGTAAAAGATGTACACCAACCAAACAAGTTTAAGATTTCAAAGTTCCAATTTTTTCTTTATAAACGTCCTCTATATAACTTAACTGCTAGAAATGAGCTTCAAATTATTCAAACCCCAATCTTAATCTCCTTCGTAATCAACCTGTTGTTCTCCATATTGTTAATTTCATGGCTCCACGAGTGCGGCGACGGCGACGTGAGCAACGGCCACAACACGTTCCTCTCATTCCTCACTCTCTGAGCGTTAGCCATCTTTTTGTGTTGCCTTAGGACCCCATTGACGGCCTTTAAATAGTTGCTTGAGTCATGGTCTCTTAGGATTGTGCCTTCCGAACCATAAGCCGTGGGGTCACTCAAGGTCTCTAGTGGGTGGGGCCTATTGAGGAAGGTCCTAAGGACACTTGTGGAGTATCCACTTTTGGTTTTGTCCAAAGCGTAGAGGGCACTACCCGGATGGAGTAGAGGGTGTGGAGGAGATGACCCCTCATCAGGTTGGAGAATGAATATTTTGCCCATTGGAGTGTACAATAGTTTCTGCATTAAGAAAGAGAGATTACACAAACTTAATGGGGGAAAAAAAATATGATAAGCTTCTAATACAATGGACAATGGTGATACTAGTATGATGGTAAATCCACAACTCTAGGTCTACAATTCGAATCCCACTCTAATTCGGGGGGGAAAAAAAAAATAGTATAGGAAAGAAAATCACAAAATCGCGTTAAAAATGCTGATATCTTGGCAAAATTTTTCGGATTTAGAACTCCATCTCTGTTTGGTTTGATGGACAGAAGATGTATTCTTATGGTTGATTGAGTCAAAAGACTTAAAAGACTAACTATTCTTCTGAAATGGCTATTCCACGATATATGAGATTATGTACTCCTAAAGTTGTAGACTAGTAGAATAGTCATTTCATTGTAAAATTGCTATTAATTAAGCCTTTTGTATCCTAAATTATCCCTCCTAATATCTTAATATTTACTTTAAATTATCATTCCCACCATCCTAATATAAACATGAAACTGAATTAAACTAAAGATTGTTAATTTGTATGAAAATAACTATTATTTCATTCCATTTCAGTAACTAACCAAACATAATAGTTATGATTCTGATGTTAATTTCAAAGTTCAATCAAACATTATAACTGGAAAGATTCACGCATTTGATTCTCATTCTGATACCATCATTTGATTTCATTCCATCAAACGTTATCTAAGGAGTGTCCCAATTGATAAGTGAAGGGAAAGAAAAAAAAATGCACTAATTTTTATCTTAATTCTTTTTCCTATAATAGGTATTGACCTACGAACATAATGTTATTCCACTAATTCAAATCATGTGTCCAATTTATGTGTTTAGAATGGTGTCTAATCAATCAGATTATGCATTAAAAAATTTAAATATTTTGTTATTTAACTTTTCTTTGTTTTCGTATTTAAATCTATTAAATGATGTGTCATAATTTAACACTAATTAAGACACTAAAAATTGAATGAGTGATTTGAGTCTTTGTTCAACATATCTATTAAGAAATTGTTTTTTAAGATGCATATGTACTTCTACTTAGATAAAAACATGGCGCATGACTAAAATGTACTTGTATTGATAAGTGATACAACTCAAAAACCCCACGAAATTAGAACTAGTTGGAATGTTTAAGAAAACTCATAATAATGATACTTACATTTTGGATGAGACAAGGGTGAGACCGAAATGTGCCATTGAGACGTTTGAGGAGATTAGCAACGTGGTTAGGATAGTTGCAGGAGAAGGCTCTAGGAACAATATCCCTATGCATCATAACGCAATGAATTTGGCTCTCGTCCAACCCCAACTCGTCTAGTATCTTCTGGCCACCGCAGAACACAAACGGAGACCCGAAAGTGACGACCGGTCGGAGAACCGACGGCTTGACAACCTTCCTGGTCAGCAGCATCAAGTGGACTAAGAGAGACAGGCTTCCCCCAAGAGAATGCCCGGTGAACTGAACCTTTGCTCTCTCTCCATACTTGTTTAAATGTTCCATTATTTCAGGCATGAATTGCATATAGATTCCCTTTGCAGCTTCATAAATCCCTCTATGAACAAGGCAATCCGTTTCCTACACGAAGAGATTGTACATAATATTATGCAGTGGCCAAGCAAATTTAGAAATTTTCAAAATTTTAGCTATGTCTCAGTTCTGTAAGAAAAATTATAACTATACCCTTACAGAATAATTGAAATATGTTGTTGCGCAAAGAAAAATTATACATAACTATATTTATATTTAATAAAGTACGATTTCTAAATTTTTCATAATACTTTCATTGAAAGAAATTTTTGACTCCACCACTGATATTATGATCAATAATAAATTCTTTTATTCTTTTTAATTTCTTAATTTGTTAATTACCTCAAACTTGGTAGGTTCAAAGAAGAGGTTTGCTTGCCAAAATATTTAATAAAGTACGATTTCTAAATTTTTTCATAGTACTTTTGTTGAAAGAAATTTTTTGACTCAGCCACTGATATTATGATCAACAATAAATTCTTTTATTCTTTTTAATATCTTAATTTGTTAATTACCTCAAACTTGGTAGGTTCAAAGAAGAGGTTTGCTTGCCAAGAAGCCAAGGAATCCGAGCCCTGCCGTGTCAAAGACAATTAAAACGCATAAGAATCCTATATAATTTTGTTACTTCATAAGATCAAATTCCCACTAGAGACTAAATTTTATTTGGATAATTTTGATTACCTGAATTACAAAGCAGCGAGTGTAGGTGCTGGAATCATCACAAACAAACCACTCACAAGGTGAGGAGTGGAGTGACTGAAGATCCTTTGCAGCCTCCGATTTCTCCCTTTCACCAGCAGCCACCACCGCCGTCATCGTCGAAGCAGCCATATAAGCAGCGACCTCCGACTTGTAAAGGCGAGGCGAGCATTCTCCTTCCTCTCCTCCTTCTTCCTCCTCTCCACTTTTGCACAAATCCTCCGGCTCCAATTCGGAGGCAGAGGAGAACATGTTCTTAGCCTTGGATTGCACGTAGGACGCTGCTGAGGCTGCGATTTCATAAGCCACGGAAGCTCTTATCGGGTGCTTCTGTTCCGAATCCACGACTCCATCACCTGAAGTAATGCCAATGGATTTGCTTTCTTCCAAGGAAACTACAGGTAGTTGGGTAGAGTCTTGTTCAAGTCTTGATTTTATTGCAGCTGCCTCTGCTTTCTTTACCAAGGATGATGTTACATACTCTAGGCCAAAGTACATTTTCAAATCCTTAGGCTGCAAAAATCAACAGATAAAATTGCTTTTTGCGTAAAATTTGGTAGTTTAAGTAATTTTTTAGCACGTTCGGTTCGTAGTTTAAACAAAAAATTTGAACATAATTTAAATTTTCAAAAATATCGTAGCAAAACAATTTGAATTATGATTCAAATCTATAAAATAAACGTACTATTTATGTATCATAATTAGCAATCATCGTCATAATTTTTTGAGCATGACAACTTCCGATTGGTTAAGAAATAGAGAGAGATGCTTACCATAATATCTGGAATGACATAAGCTATGTTGCACAAGAAAGCAAGTTTAGAAAACAGCTTGGTGTCTGACCATGGTACTTTCACCAAAAAATTCGAAAACGATTCGCGGTCCAATCTCTTTTCTCTCTCTTCTTCTTCTCCTTCACTATAACTCACCTCACAAGCATCTTCTTCTTCACAACCACAATTACCAAACTCTTGTTCCTCATCACAAACCTCCATTTCATCAAAACCATCTTTTTGTTGTTTCCTATTCCTCCAATGAGTTCTAAGTTCCATTAGCCTTTCCACCCAATTAGCTCTCTTGATCTCTTGTCCTTCACTATTCTCCTCAACATTCTCCATCTCATGATCATCCATATCCTTACTCGTCTCCGGTTCAAACAAAAATGATCTAAGTGAATTCGGAAGAATTGAACCCGCAGAGAATTGAAATGGAAAAAGCCCCATGGAACGGCTGTTCTTGAGCTTCGGTGGTGTTGATGCGGCATGGATGCGGTTGAGGCAGCAAACGAGGTGGTTATCAGAATTCGACCGTTGGATTGTGGCGCAGTTTTGGAGATCTTTGCTTGATTCCGACCGGCGAAGGCCATTGCTTGCCACCGGAGAGGTAGGGATACTTAGTGAAGCACATGCCATTGAGCCAAAGTTTGCTCTCTTGAACAAGTTGTTGGCAAACTAACTTGTCAATATTAATTGGCCCTGAAATAATGAAATATCAAATTTTTAAGTAAAAATCTATCTATTTTTTGGGAGATTTTGGTTGAGTTCTTGAAAATAAATTAAACCGTGGCAAAATGGACATTATAAAGAAAACAACTAGGATATCAATGCCTCTTGTTAGTAACGGAAAGAAGATTTTCAATTCAAACTAGGCCAAAAAGAATGACCAAACTAAGTGGAAACCGGTTTGTATGAATTATGTATCTTGATAAGTAGACAGAATATGGCCAAAATCAAGTTTTAGTTATATCCGATAATGCCTTTCCATTATTGTAGTTTTTCACTATGAATTTTGTCCTGTGATTAGTGGATTTTTATGCTCTTAACAAATGAAATTTGACCCAACAATTAGAAATGTGTCAACATTACTCTGATCAATTTTAATAATACTCGTTTACATTGTTTTTTTCTTGTTACTTGTTTTAACTTTTGTGCTGTGTTTGTTCAGCGGCTTAGGCCTAGTATTCAATGAACAAATTCCTGTTTATCTCGTCAAAGGTGAAAGTAAAATAAACATTTGAAAAACTAATTCTTGTCTTGTATGGTTGTACCAAATATTGGTAATCTCTAGGAAGACTTCTTTGCCCCAGCATACTTATAGATAGAAATCTGTTTCTCCAAGACTCCAAATTTTAAGTGTTTTTTTTTCCGAGCCAAAAAAAAAAGAGTTTTTTTGATATGATCAAAAAATAAATTACCGGTAATTCTTTACTTTTCAACTATTAAATTTGTATAAAAAATTGTCTGTTTTGCATACTTTTTCAATCGGGTGTGATTTTAACCGAATCTAACAGTAAAAAATTAATCTTATCGGAGAAATTCTTTAAAAAAAAAAAAAAGAAAATGAAACTTTGCAGTGTTTTTTTCAATTAAAAGAAAACTTTTTGAGTAATTATTCCAATAAAACAACTACTGTGTTTTGAAGGATATTCTTAATTTCTTTTTCACTACCACAGATTCTTGGAGTTATCGTAATTAAGACATTGAAGTCTAAATATGAAAAACTAGACTTCGCCTGGGCAACAAGCTTTGGACATATCAATGTCATTAAATACTATAAATTCTAATTAATTATTTTGCCCTTATTCAGAGCAATATGTATATATATATATATATTGCCCTTATGAGATATTAATTAGAATGATGAAAAATATAAACAGGTAATCAACATCGTTGTCACACTAGTGGAACCCACTAAACAAACTGACTTGCATGTGCGCCAGGTGGAATACTCTGTTTTAATATCCCAATTAAAGGCATTTCCCATTTCCCATCTTTTATGTACAATTATTTATTTATTTTATCTTTTTTTTTCCTCGTTTTTCTTTTTTTTTTTAAATAAAAAAAGAGTTGTTTTTATATATAGGGAACCTTTCAAGCAGTGTTTGTATACGAGGAACACGAATTCAAAACACACAATATTAAAACATCAAAACAAGCAACGTCTATGTGAGAGAACCAGACAAAAGAAACTAGAGAGCTGTAAAATGTAACCCCAGAATCTATTCATTGTGTCATTCAAAAAGAACCAACTTCCCTATAAAGTTAGTTTTCTAATTTTTTTTTTTTCTTTTTCACTCTTTTCATTGAAGGAAAGAGAAACTTTTTCATTTTCATTAATAATTTCTAGCCTTTTCAGAAAAAAAAAAACATAATTTCTAGCACAATGTATCAGCACTTATCGTAATAGTTTTCTGCCAGATATGAAATGTTAATGAAACAAGCACATATTATTATACAAACAGAAAGACAAAACCCAGAATATATTCACCACAGAATTTTGAACTCTTTTTTTAGAAATGCTAATCACAAACAATTGCTTGTTGCTAGCAAGCTTAGATCAACATTTTTCTAATTTTCTGTTTGTTTTGGTCTTTTCTCTAGTGTTCCAAACAAATAACTGATGTATAATCGTGCATTAATTTGTTTCTGCTTTTGTTGCTTTCTGGATAATGTTAGAAAAGAAAAACACCTTTCCTTCGTTCCTCTTCAAAACTTTCCTCTTAAATCACTATCAATTGTAAGAGCATAAACTAAACTATTAAGAAAAAATACATTTTCAAAACAAAAACAAAAAAAAAAAACAGAAAAAGAAAAAGAATAAACACGTACCTCAAATCCTGCAAAAACAAGCCAGCTTCATAATTCATATTGCATTGCGGAAACCAAAAAATCAAATATGAAACAATGAGAAGAAAAATAGACCTTGATTTGCCAATGTGTATATATATATATATGGAAGACAAGTTTTCAATTTTTGTTCTTGTCTGATTGGTTTTGTTTTTATATGTGGTTTATGTGGGATTCTAATGGACTGGAGAAGAGAGTCTCATTTCGCAGTTATTTCTCTCGAGATCGATCTAGGCATTACTATAAATGGTGGTTTTAATTTTTATTTATAGAATGTAAATGGTCGCAGAAACAGTCATCTAGAATCTGTTCACGTGGACGTAAATGACTTCCACCTTCGAACGAATTATTTTTATGGACATAAACACCCCCAAAAATTAATCATCTAATCAAAACACGACAATCTTATCAACAGTGAAAAGAACCCTTATTTATAATCTATAAGAATACTCTGTAATTGAAGACATTTTGTATTTCTTGCCTCTGTTACTTGACATAGCCTGTGATTAGAGTATTTGAAAGTACTTAGCTCTCGATTGTTTCACTCGTTTGAGTTAAAAACTTAAATTAAAAAATAAATTTATGTAAGATAAATCATTACAGTAAAAAAAAAAATAAATTTAAATTTTTATAAGAGAAAATATCATAATAAAAAATTTAAGTTATAATTCGAATGGTGGAACGAATGCTTAGCTTCTAGACAACTTGAAACACAAAATTGATGTCCATACAAACTATATGTTAACCCAAATTACTGAAGTATGTTGTCATAAATAAACTTCTTATTGACGAGTGAATAAGAAAGTATGTGCACATCAAGGTCACATCTATCTACTTTTAAGACTCTTTAAGATATTTACCGATCTACCAAAACGACTCAACAACTTAATGGGGCCATTTAATTTTTTTTTCCTTTTCTTTTTTTTTTTGGTTAGTGGGGGACCGATTAAACTCTCCATCACGTACCTTCAGTACTAAAATGGGTCTTAGTTATAGACTGAATTATTAGCATCAGGGGCATTTTCGTCAATTCACACGTGGTTTATGCCGACCCTAAAATTTGGTAATTTCACAAAATATAATGCTTGTTGTCGCACGTGCGGAAAAAGAAGAGCATGCAATAGAGTTCGAAAGGGGCCAAATGTGCGGTTGCATGAGGATGCGAAAGGCAGAGGCTTACGCGTATGACGAGTGTAGGGACTTTGAGGCTCATTGTATTTTCCGCCCAATTCCAACGGCTGCCCAAGACGGAAAGCCAACCGAGCGGCAGCCAAAAAGGCCAAAAAGCTCTTCACCTCTGGACGTTGGCTGCCACGGCACCCCCTCGTGCCCCTAACAAATATCACTTTTTCAATCTCTCACTTTTTTTTTTTCACTCAGATGCTATAATGGAATATTCGAAACTCACAAATGCATGTGTGACACTAAGTGGACGTTTAGTTCATTAATTTAGAACTATTTTCAGTTTACATATATTTTTTTATGAGAAAAAATACTGTAGTGAGTCACGAACCATTGTTCGAATTATAATTCGAACCATGACACGAATCTTCATACCAAACACCCCATTAGTCAGATAGCATGGTGTATAGTTAAATGCACTGACGGACTCATAAAATTTTGTGAGTGAAACTAATAATTAAACGATGATAATTGAATTATAAGATTAAATTTTTTTAATGTTTTACTGGGGCTAATTAATAGAGACACCAATTCAAATATAAATTTTTATATATTAATTAATATAGTACGTGAGTTGTCATCTTTTTATTTATAGATGCAACATCTTATCATTAATTGACGTGATAATATTTTAAACACTTACTAATGTAAAAATGACAACTCACGTACCACATCAGTTGATACACAAAAATTAAGATTTGAGTTGATGTTCTTAACATTATTCTTAAAACAATAAGTTATATATATATATATATATGCTTATTTAAAAAAAATTAAATTGTAGTAGATAGTACTTTTACTGCTAAAGAAAGTAAATAGCAGTTTTTACAAATATTTGAAGCAAATAACAAATTTATAAGGTATATAAAAAAAAATTATCAATGAATAATCTATTTACTAGAAGTAAAAAAAAATGATTTATCTAGTAACACATTTTTAACCTGTTAGTTACTTCAGTTATTTACTGTAAAAATACCATTCCTTTCATTCTTAAAAAAAATAAAAAATAAAAAGTTAAGTGGGAGCAATTGGGCCTTAATTTTCTCCTTGTATGGTTAAGTGGAGCTTGAGTAATGAAAAAATAGATCAATATTATTTTAAAATGCATTAATTTAAATTTTATATTTATTTTTTATTAATATCTTTTTCAATCAATTTTCTTCTCAAATAAAAGAGGATGTCAGTATATGGCGTGTTGCATTTAAAGGGCCAAAAAAAAAAAACTATGTTACAACACCCTAGTGACAAAACAAAAATGATAGAAATATTGCAAATAATTAATCACCAAAAAAACTATGATCTAATTTATTGATGGTTAAGAAAATAACCAGATGAGATTGCGTAACAATACATTTTAAGGCATATTTTTAATATATGTCTTCAATTTTCTTAAATTAAAGAAATGTCCATTTCTTAAAAATTCAAAAATCAATAATTTCTGTGATAGAAATCCCTAAATTAGACATAAATTGGTAATTTAATGTTTAATTAATCAATAATTTACCAAAATTAATCAATATTTTACCAAAGTCAATTTGCTTTTGAATGGAATTTTTTTTTAATTGAGAAAAAGTAAGGATATTTACTAAAAGTAGACTTTAAAGAAGGAATATGCACTGCAATTTTTCCCAAATAAATTCAATTAATGAGATTTATTAATTATTGTAGTAAGTAAATATTTTGACTTATTTTTATAAAATATGAGATTTATTAAATATTTTAATTGATTAATATAAGAAGTATGAAACTATTGGAATTAGTAAAAGTGATATTTTTTTCAAGTACCCTTCCAAGTCAGCCATTTCTCCCCAAATCAACTCATATAATTATTACAAATGTATCTTATGATTTATTAAAATGGTATCTCACGATATAGAAAACGTTATTTTGGTATCTTGTAACCAATTTTATTTAGACTTGAAACGTTATTTATACCGTTCTCTTTTTATTTAACTATATAAAATTAGGGAAAAACTGATAATATCATTTATTGATATTTGGACACAATCACACAAAGGTAATATTATTTTCTTTCTTTCTAAATTTGAATCAGTTTAATAAAAAGGATTTTTTCTAGTAGGGCCAGTTTCTGAATGTTTATTAAAATCATATGAGATTAAAAAGTATGCAAAACATAAAGTTTCTAATACAGATTTGACGATTGAAAAGTAAAAAATTACTAGCAGCTTACTTTTTTTGGTCATACTAAAAAACTCTATAAAGGACATTTTAGGTCTAAAAAAATGAGAGTTTCTTGATAGGACTAGAAAAAATAAATTATTAGTAGTTCTCCACTTTTCAACTGTTAAATTTGTATCAGATTCAGTTTGTTCTGCATACTTTTTAAAATTTGATTTGATTTTAACTAAATTCAATAGTAAGAAACTGACACTATCAGTAGAAAGGCCTACCAGAGAAAGTTTCTTAAAAAATAGGTTTCAAGTTATCAAAATAATATTTTCTCAAAATGTGAGTGTATTACTTTGCTATTATAAAACACAAAGAATATCTTCATCATGACAGTAAAAAATACAGATACTAAAATGGTTTTTTCCTTAGTTGTTTCACGTTTTTGGTGTGTTTTTTTTTTTCTCTCTCTCTCTATTTTTTGTTTCACTGGTTTGTGTTTGTCCATTATATCAGTTTGCAGTGAGGGATTGTAATACTCTCCATAGAGACGGGGCCTTGCCCCGAACGGGGTGGGAATGAGAGAAAATAATTAGGAATGGAGACAGAAATGAGGACAAATGTAATTCTAGAGTCTTGATGGAAACGGGGACGAGAGAAGCACTCTGTGTCCTGCTTCCAACTCGATATGCATATATTATATTTTTTAAATGTAAATATGTACATATATCTAATTTTTTAAAATTATTTTTTATTAAAAAAAGAAAAAAAAAAGGTAACTATGTTTTTTTTATGCCTTTATTATTAAGATTTAGCTGGCATATGTTTAGAATTTAGTTCCAAACTTTTGATTTTAGTTTGAATTTATAATAAATTTTTATTTTATTTTTATTTTAAATTACTATAATTTTTAAATGAATAGTTCTATTCGATAAAGAACGAGTGAATATAGAGAGGTCTGCCCATAAAAAATTCTCATATCCGACCCGCCTCTATTTAAAGAGCGCTGGAAACTAAATTGGGGATAATTTAGGAAGAAAGAGAGAAATAGTCCAAGACTTGAGATGAATTAAAATTAATAGGCCAATAGTTTACATAAGTTAATAAATAGGTCAGATTACTGTTTTCGTTCATAACTTGTCTGGTTATGAACCATAACTTGACAAGTTATTGTCCATAACTTGTCTGGATATGAACCATAACTTGACAAGTTTGTCCATAATTTATCTGGTTATGAATCATAACTTGACAAGTTATGACATATTAATTTCTATAACTAAAAATTGACCTATATACTTTCTTAAACTTTTTATATTAGTCTATTTCTTACATATTTTCCGATAATTTATAGAGATGAAGATGGGAAATCATTCCTCAGTACCTACCTCGCCCCCTTGCTAACCACAAATACATTGCAAGTTGAGTTGACAAAAAAAAAAGGAATGTTTTTTTTAATGATTAAGATTAAAGGAAAAAAATTAAGTGGCTTGTAACATTACTATAATTATTACAATGCTTTAGCCGTTTCGTGTACTAACATTTTTGCCCCTAATTTCACAAGAACCCGTAGGGACTTTTAAAAGGAATGGTACTCGATAATGCTTTTTGGCAATCACTAAAAAGTAAAAATTAACACACATGTAACATGCCGACATTCCACTGAAAATATATATCCCTTATTATTATTTGTTTATAAGAATTTATAATATATGTTATGA